TCATAAATTATTTTGTTATAGCCCAACTAAAGCTTTATTTTATTATCTCAGGTGTAACAGCGTTCATGTAATTTTTTTTTAAATTTAGGAACACTTCTAATTAAATTCCTGTCATGGTACAGTGTGACAAGATATTATACCATAGAAACCGTGAAGGGTGGCAAGTTTTATCATTGTGAATAACTAAAATGTATGGATAACAACAAGGGCGGGAGTACTGCTCCCACCATCGTTTGTCTGGGAGCCTGCTGTCCTCGCTGGCTTTCAGAAGCACTTTAAGAATTGAAAAAAATCTTTAACATAGTCTAACAAGGCTGTTTATGGTTTATGAGAGATGAGAGATGCAAATTAGAGGCACAAATTAGAGAAATAAAAACAGCCTTAGGTCTTAACTTCCTTTTGTGTGTGTGTGTGTGTGTGTGTGTGTGTGTTTACACTAAATGAAGTTGGCTCCAAAGTAGCCGTCACCACGTCAAAGAAGCCATCATAACAGCTGTGTTGTGTTATAGCAGACATAAAAAAACAACTTACAATCTTATCTACAGCAACATGTTCTGCAAGCTTTTGTGTTTAAAAGTCTGCTGTCATCAAACAAACATTGTGATGGTGACTGTATTATTACAGCTCAGGACATATAGGTTATTGAGCTAATATAGCTCTTTTATTTGGGAGGGACTCATGATTATTTGGTTATCTCTGAGAGCACGGTTATCATTTCAGCATAAATTAATAAAATGTTAAATGTGTGTCTGTTAGGCTGACAGGATAGCGGGTATCATGTTTACACTGTGGCAGATTAGTCAATCTACAATGGGGGGAGAAAACAATCAGTCTCCTTCCCCTTTCCTTATTCTTGGTTGGCTGCCACCAGCAGACACCTTGGGAGTCTGTGAAAGCCCTAATGACATCATCAACCATAGCCCACTAACTGCAGCAGTACCATCCCACAGTCCGTTCAGCTGAGCCAGCACCTCTCCTCGGCTGATGTATCGCAGCTGTCGAACACTACCCCGTTTCATCAGAGGCATTACAACTTCATTGCGCCTGGTCAACACACACAAAGTCAGAGTGAAGAAGGCCACTTAAAATCTGACCAAAATATCATTACAAACGCCGATGTTGCTGTATTACCTATGCCGCCATAAGCATTACCCCCAGTGTGGTCTGATTGACATAGGTGCATGACATCATCCAAAGAAAGGAAGTCATTAGATTAAATCAATGCTTTTATTCCCTGCAGACGAAGTCCGACCTCAGGGAAACAATAACCCAATCCCGGTCAGCATAATATGATACCTTTATTATGTTATTATGTTACAGTTCAGCCATACAAGATGACTAGCGAGGGACATATACCTATAATTGTATATCTAGAATCAGATAACAGAAGCAGCATGAACCAGCCATACAAATTACACTGGAAACCTCGCAGTACAGTTCCAGCTGCCATATGGCCATAATACTGTTAGGATAATTTTAATTTGTTCACAGTCTACGGCCAATTAAGAAAAGTAAAACTTGCTAAACTGAAAGTCTCTCAAAGGGAGGTTAATCACAGACACAATCACAACTTCCTAGCAGGCACTGGAGTCCAGGAAAAACCCACATCCTGAATAACACACGCACATTCTCCTGCAAAACCGGAAGACAAATATGTACGAAGACTGATTTTTGTTGGCTGGATCCATTTCCTGTCTCTTAGCACATTTCAATCAATATTATTTTACAGATTAAGCACGCAGAGAGTGAGGAGACGGGGAGCAGCTAACATAGAGATGCAAAGCATGTCTGCAGATGGCATTTTACAACAAGACATAAAAACAGGAATTCAGCAAATTAAAAAAACGTAAAAGAGAAATTATTTTGATATTTGATGTTTAAATTACTAATAAAGCAGTGTGGTGCTCCATTAGCACAAAGCTAATGTAGGGCAACAAAACAGGAAGTGGGCCGAGTGCTTTCTTGTTAGTATAAAAATAGCATTTTTTTTGAATAAATTCAGAATAGTAATCGATTACTTTATAGACCAATTACTGAAAATATGACAGGTCAATTGATTATGTTAATTTTATGGAAGACAGAAAAAGCAATAAATAACAACCAAAAACTAATTAATTTTTTCTATATCTGTTCTTAGGCTAAATTATGCGCAAACAAGCTCTATGTTTTTAGTAAGAAGAGACATCTGCTCCTGTTCCCGTAAAGTAATTTGTCAAAACAAAGATGTGAACTAGCGGATGAATCAAAAGTAAAAACCCTTTTTTTCCCTTTCTTTTTTTTCAGCTGAAACTCTTCTGCGAGTCAAAATGTTTTTGCCTGTTGTTAAATTGAATTTGATTGAAACTGCAGCACAACGCCACAATGGAGCCTGTCAAACGGATCCTCTGTTCCATATTGTAAAATACTGTGGGAGGCACATTTCTCCATCGCAACCAATTGTGTCAAACAATGACGGCAGTGAACTGGCAGAAAGCTACTATCGAAGCCTTCAGATACTTTTGATTGCAATTCTTTCCGCCCTCCAATTACTTTCCTCAGAGCCCATCTCTGAAGACGTAAAGTACAAGCTAATTTGCAAGCATACAATAGCACAGTCCATTAAGACTGCAGGCTCCTTCCCTCGCAGTTTTAGCAGCTTAACAGACAGTGTTCCAGTACCCATACTCGTGCTATTTAGTATGCCATCTCCCAACACATGCAAAACGCAATATCAGGAAGTCCTTCCATTATTAATTAACTCACGCCAGCACGGCTCTGTGGTCATTCTGACCCACGGGCCCCTGCACAGAAGATGCATCGCGCAAGTGTTCCCTTCAGCTCAACAGATGGCCGCCCATCCTGAGCCTGTTCTGCGGAAGGTTTCTTCCTGTTAACATTCTCATAGGAAGTCTGTGGTCTTCCCTTTACAACATATTAAAGGCATAAGCTCTTCATGCTCCAAAGTGAAGCGCTCTATGATTAAGATTTGTTGGGAATTGGCACTACACAAATAAAAATGAACTGAATTAGTAAAGGCAGCTGCACTAACTACTTTAAGTTGAAAAATAAAAAAAAAGTTAAATTATGGGATTTGGCAGGCAGCAACAGCCTCAGATGCCCTCTTCCTCCTCCTGTTCGGAATCATAATTACGGCCTTACTTTCTCATTTCCATCAGCACTCGGTTCTACCGGGACGACAGAGTCTGCTGACAGCTTCGTGCAGCGCCAGCTCTCCAATAGATGAAATTTCATGACTGCAGAATGATTGTTCAGTCGTCATTGTCGGAGGACACACAGTCAGCCGGTCACGAAAGAAGTCAAGAAATGGAAAGTTGACGGAGAGGGGAAGGCCGTCTTTATGCGTAATGTGGCCATAATGTAGACTTTATGTGGAAAATAATATGGTGGAACAAGTGTAGACAACACACTGGGTATCAAACGTCTGGACAAGAAAAAGATAAGAGAAAGTAGGCATAAAATGCTATGATTTCCTTGTTGTAAGGCATACGTACTCAGTAGGAAAACTCATGGGAGGAAAAAAAAAATCACCTTTTTAGCTATAGGAAATTCCCATATTCCCAATTTCCTTTTTCTAATTTCAGATTTTTCTGTTGAGCATAAATTAAAAACTAAATTAAACTCAGACTGCTTGCCTACAAAGATCACCATCTGTCGCTTCTCTTCAAACACTCCCTGTCAAAAATCACAAGAAAAAACACAATACAGTGTGAAGAAGGAGGATTACAGACAAAATTAGCATTTAGTTATCAGAACGTTTATGTATGCATACTACACATACCAGCAGCACGACGAGGCTCGTCATCACAACAAGCTCTCAGCAAAGAAATAACCCAAGCCTACAATAATGTATGACACAGACACCCAGCCGGTTCTTCCCCTTTTCCCCAGCATTAACCTAACAATAACCCCAAACCACAGAAAAATCCAACACCGCAGCACAGATAGCATCAAAAGAACCGGTCTTTGACGTGAAGCTGAGATGTGTTAGCTCAAATTGAACATGAGTGAAGGGCTTGCCCTCCCATTTGGCAAAGCACACACCACGAGGATGAAGGGAGAACAGAAGGCTTTAAAGTACACTAGAGTGTTTTACTGCATGTCTAAAAGCTCTGAACAAACTGTAACACACAAGCAGGAACTGTACAGCAGAGCAGCACGCATCATGACGGGGGTGATGATGGAAACAACTGGAGAAAGCTGATCCTGCAGCCAATGAGAGGACAGAGTGTAATGTGAGAGCCACTGTGGCAATTAAGTGATCAGTGGGTTTGATGTCAACATTAAAGTCTTACCATTTAAGAAATAAATAAATAAAGTTCAATTCATATTTTCCACGTTACTGCGCAGATTGTTGTTGACGTCAAGCTGAAGGCAAGAAACCAGAATCACTGGTGACACTGATCTGAAAAGCGCGCAGCGATGCAGGGCGCTGCTGCTGGCTTTATTATGGTTCATAATAAGGCGACACCCGGCTGGGCAGTGCGCCTCGTCGGACCTACAGAGAATACGAGATGCTCTCCGAGCCACAGCGAGCTGCTAAGATCACACCACGCCGATTTTTGAACATTAACATCCAAATCAGCATTGATCCGGTAAAGTCAGGACAGGACTCCGCTGCTTTCTGAGTAATCCAGAAGGCACAGCACTGACAGCAAAACCCTAAGATGGGTTTTTAGCGGTATCGAACACCAATAAATTCTTTCTTCATCATCCGGAGTCTCATCGCATTCCAGCAGCAAATTGTGGAATTGTGGGAGCGCGTTGAGGGATCTGGGAAAACTAACAAAAGGCTTGCTCGGGCAACATTACGTCTTCCTACATCGAGTCACACGCACACATCTACATGGACACACACACGCTGAATGCACGAAACAACGAGACAATAATTAATAACAGGCATCTGAGCTGACACAAACACTCTGCTGCTGTTTCCCCTTTCTCTCTCTCACCCTCTTTTTGCTGCAGAGCGCACTCGCTCACATTAAACTGGATTTTCATACCTTAATCACAGCAGGCTACGAGTGACCGTCGTGAGGAACAGAGTGTCGGCTTCAACAGCAGTCAATATAAAAATTAAAAAAACAAAAGAAAAGGGGAAAACAAGAAAAAGCAGCAAATTCTCACGCTATCATCCCAGCACAGTTCAGAGGCACGTCCGAGCGACCCCCTCCAGCCGCCTCAGGTCGGATTTAATAAAGCGAGAGGCGCAGCGGACACGCTGGAGCCTCCTCAGCGTGGACGTACACATAACTGCATCGCAGCGAACGTTGCTCGTTGAACGTCGTAAAGACACACGCGAAGAAAACACTCACCGAATGTCGACGCGTTGTTTATTTCATTGCCCCCGCTGAGCAGCTGTTTGTAGTGGTGCGTCACCGACTTCCGCGTTAAGATGGAGTGGAAACAAAATGCAAGAAATAATTAATTTAAAGGACAGGCGGCGCACGCGGGCGAACTGACTGAGGGCTGTGCACTGCCGAGGAGAGGAGGATGGCGATGATGATGATGATGTGGTGATGAAGGTGACGATGATAGCTCTTGATGATCGTGATGGCAGTGAGGTGGAAAATGACCCCACCATAGTAATTATAGTGATAGTGAATAACAATAAGTGCTAATTAAAAGGTGCCATAATCAGTATTTTATGCGACAAATGGTTCCCTGTGTAATTTTAAGGCTGTTACTCACAGTGAGAAGCCCACAAATATTCAAATTATGGCCTTTAACATTTTGCTTTAGTGTCGAGCAGCAGTTTTAAAGAAAATCTGCAGCAGCCCATAAAATGATGGGCAAGCAGACAGAAAGTACCAGGTGAAAAGTATACCTCTGCATTTCTATGCATTTTCACTACAAAAGCTACCCTGCCAGTGCCGAAAGGGCGGTACCAGCACTGCTGTGTCTAAAGTTTGAACCACTCAATTGAGTGGCTTTGGGAGGGGCTTCCGAGAAATTTATCAGTGAGTGACAGATGCTCTGTAAAAATTGGTTGTCAAAGGGCACCAAAGGCAGAAGTGGCTCAAGAATGGTGCTTGGAACATCACAGGGTCATGAAAAAGTCTAACAAAGGCTCAACAGCCAAGGAGCCAAAAAAATAATAATTTCCTTCTGGAGTCTGTGGTTCATCAGCTGATGCACACATGACCACAACAGCGTGTTCTCTCAAGTGGCCAAAAACTAAATTTAAGTTGCATTATCATAGAAGTTGAAGCACCATCAGCTTATATCGTTCCTGTTTGCCTCGTACAAAACAATGAGGTTAAAAAAATACATCCATTTTATTGGAGTCATCATGAAGATCTGTAATATATTCTTGACTCGTGCAACCAACTCTGGGAAATTACATATCGTGACTAAGAAAGGGGCAGTCAAGGACACATATTTGTACCAATTTACCAGGCAACATGCCACATGTTAATTACAGATGTGCTGGTAGGTGGATTTTGTTCGCTTTAGACAGAGTTAGGCTCCCTGTTTCCCCCCCATCTGTAGCTACACCAAACTACACACATCTTACTTAACACTCCATCAGAAAGAAACGATTAGACATTTCTTATTTTAAATGACATCACATAAAGTGATGACTACAACTTTTTAATTAAAAGTGCTCTAGTTTGTCACATTGTTCTAATATACTCAAGTAAAGAAGTTTTCAGATTATAAATGTCTGGTTGTGTATCATGACACTTCCAGCTCAAGTAAATCCCTGCTTGTGCTGTAACTCCACGCCAAGAGAGCCCCTCACTCGCAGTGCAGTATGTTGGGAGAGACTCAGTTGTTAAAGAAGGGAACGTATCCTCTGTTGACTCAAAGCCTGAGCTCTATCTCTGTGAAGCCTTTCATTGTGTTCAGCCTTATTACTGATGCGAAGTCTGCCGCTCTGTCCTTGGGGTGGGACAACAGCGCTTCTGTGCTCTGTCTGGACAAAGTGGGCACCTCAGAAACGAGTCTGCCAAACCGTCATGCGTGTGTCTCTGCGTCAGAGAGATACAGGCCGTCTTGCAGTGTGGTAGGGAGGATTGGGCCATGGCTTTTGTATTAAGTGGGCAGAGAAGCAGGCGAGTGAAGCACAGCTGTCCTGTTGATACAAAAAAGAAAGAAACACATTTACAGGATGAAAACATAGCTCTTTAACAAAAGGGAGAACAGAGCCAGACAGAGAATTGTATACCCAGCCCTAACAGTCTTTTTAGGAAGCAGCTAGAATTTCTCTCGAAAGAGATTAGAACAGGGTGTGTGTGTGCTTAAGTGGAAGGAACGGATGGCGTAAGAGCAGGGGGTTAACATAACAAGTCTCACTGAGTTAAAGATAAGCAGAAAGTAAGCAGAAAGAAATAGAGAGGGGAAAAAAAAGGGCAGAAGAGGACAGAGAAAAGGTGGAGTTGGTACCCGGGTAGAACAATGTAGGATTAATTCTTCCCAGGAGGTCAGTGGTTCTGTCAGTAGGTGGGACCAAAACTGGGAGTTGGTGTAAAAGACAGCCGTGTGGTTTCAGTGTTAAGATTTCCTTGGCGAGTGTCTTTCGAGCTCTCTTACCTGCACATGAAACCCGTCAGACTAGCAGAGCTTGATCGCCCCAGTGTGCGAGTACATGACTCAGCAGTGTTGAGTCATGTGTATATTCTGAACACTTGGTGGAAAATGATCATGCTAGTTTGTGTTGAAACAAGCCTTTGTACTCTACGCACTTTTCCGTTTGTTGGTTTCAACATGTGATCGGTATTCCTCATTGTGCCGGCACAAGCTAAGAGCAGTTCTTTATTCTTTTCAAATTTTTGTAGCCAACAGAACCCAAAGCATGGCTGAATACAGCATTTAAGAGTTCTAATGACAAAAAGCACACACACATTTTCAGGTACATTGTGCACTTTGATTGTCTTAATGGACTGTTTTTAAATGGACAATTAGTAACCTAAGATTTTGGATTCTGAAGGAGCCCTTTCCTATGAAAAGAGTCTGCCAAACCAGCATTTTGGTAATGCATATCATTGCTTTTACTCTCGGTGAGAATGATTTCTTCTTCTAAAAGCATGTTTGGAAAAAGAGAGAAAAAAAACATTGTTTTTCACTCGGTGGAAAATATAGACTTGCAGCACTTGGCAGAGTTGCAAACAGCAAGCTGAGCAATCCCAAAACAGAACAGTAGAAAATAAGCATTTGCTGGGTGTGTTTATGTGATACACTGCAAAGAAGCAGCTGAAGGAAACCGAATCAAATACTCAGACAAAACCTCTATATATCCCGAAAGGTGCTCTATCATGTGGGAATGAAAAGAATCCCCTATTGGAAAAACTACTGCACTGACTTAGTGTTGCACTTTCATAATCCACAAAAAAAATCCACATCTTTCATGCTCAGCAACACAGTTTGTGTTGCAGGCTCTCCTAAAAAATGTATTGTCTCCAAAACTAAGGTAAAATAATGCGCCTTAAATCCAAGTGAGTTCTGTAAAGTTCATTTTGTAAGCTTGTACCTTTAGGTCAGTGGCTGTTTAAAAGTGTGTTGGCTGCTTTCTAAAAGTTTCTGGGAAACTTCCTTACCTGTTTCAGAACCAGCTGAGGACAGTTTGTTTTCTGTTTATCTGCATGCTACAGCACAACAGGCTATGAAAGTCAGCCACTATTTCAGGTCAGGACACTACCAGCAATTTTACAGAGTAGGGTTTTTATATAGTCATCAACTGATAAAACTTTGTGTATACCAAAATAATGAAAAGGAAAAAACCACAACATGTTTGCAATTGACACGCTGATGCTATTATGTGTACACACACACACACACACACACACACCATACTCACTGTACTTCCCACCTGACTGCAGCTAAGGTTCATAAGACTGTAATGAGCTTTGCACATATTTGGTCACAAATCAGAGAATTGGAGAAGCGATGAAAGGCATTGATGAGACGGCACACGCAGTATCCAGGCTTTAGCCTACGACAGCCATCACCACCACTTGAATCCACCTCTGACTACTCAGCCAGTAGCTTGCTAATTTCCGTTTAATGTTCTAAAAACTACATTTTCATGTATTAGTTTCACCACTTTCACCAATCTACTGCCTCCTGTTGCTGCACTGATGAGTTTGAAATGAAATCAGCCTGATGCATTATTAGGTTATAAACTTCATCCTTTTTACTTTTTTAAAGTACCTGCCCATCTCCAGGTTTAGGTGCATTTATCTGCCAAGAGAGAATAAGCAGTATATGCTGCACAGCCCAATTATAGCAGATCAAAGCCAGGCAACACGAAGGAGGAAAGTGGGGATGAAAACAGCGAGACGTGATTCAGGACAGGGTTTGTTTGCTTCACAGGAACAGCACCCAAAGTGGGAGTAAAGTGAATAATAAATAGAGCCCCCCACTTTTCATTCATTTCATCGGAGCGAATCACAAGCAAACAAAGACAACATATTTCTGTGCTGAGCAACAAGAGTGTTCTCATATTTACTGACTGCTGAACTAGCCCCACTCCACAGGATTAACCTGTGTTTCAGATGTGTGCGTGTAAAACTACAGCTCTCTCTCTGAGCATTGTTAATGGGTGGACATTTAAATATGTGATCAGAAAGCTTTTAAGTAATTTGCTTTAATCTCTCAACCCGATCAGAAAGCTTCAAGCATGTGATGAAAATAAAAACTGTGTAGCAACAAAAGGACATGTTTGTCTCTCAAAGTTTACATATACTCATCATGGGCATGGATGTCATGCTAATTCTGGGCTTTTGACGATTTCTAGATATTCAGGAACAACCCAGGAACCACCAAGGTTCAAGCTTGCCATGAACCGGTAACTTAGCTCATGAAGGCAAGCTTATACATTTACTGAGGTTTAAAAATGTTCAACTTGTCACTAAGGAGCTAGCTGAGGGTCTGACTCGGCAGGAGGGGTTATTTAATGACAGGAAACAGAAACCCTTTCCCCTCATACTTCACAGCACCGTGATGAGGACTATTACTGGGAGAGAAAGGTCAAATATTCAGTCTGCAAGTCTTGAGGAACCGAAACAGTGAAGCTTGAAGGCACTGCGTGGAAATGACAAGAGGAGCTCCGGTAAGAGGGTGAAATAAGCATTTCCCTCAAGAAAACAAAGTCTTCTATCAGAATGATAATTTTAGACCAGCTGTTGGATTTCAGCCAAACAAAAATGACGCACAGAAAGAAACTTTCTGGAAAGAAACTTTATTAGATCAAACCCCTGTAGATACTTTACGAGCATTTAAAGTTTTTGAAACAGCTGAGCAATAAAAAAGACTTACAAAAGATTTTTTTATTTTTTTTTTTTTAAATGGCAACCACCT